CTACTATTTTAAAGGCATTTAAATGCCAGTATATATTTACTTTATGAACATATCAAGAGATGTTAAGTATAAAATATATAGACAGCATTGGATTCAACCAAAAAGAATTTAAATAAAGGAATTTTAAAACGATATCTGTTGGAATACACACCCGAATTGTCGCCTTACTTCGTACAAGCAGGTTGAGCGTAAAATCGCTGACACGGTAGTTCGGTCCAACTTTCTAATCCCGGCGAGCGGGCTGCTGCATGTGTTTTTCGTGTTTTTCCGCATGCAGTATCTTCTGCATGCATACGTTAACAAAGCGGGCGCAGCAAATGTATAATCGCTGTACACTGGTAGTTAGGTCCAACTTTCGAATACCACGAAGGCATCCATCCCCTGAAGTATGCTAATTAGGAGCCTAATTAGAAGGTTCATTAAAAAAGCGCTACTACCTTTATCTTTCCTTCCTAACTCTTGGTTGACGGCGTTTCTACTCGAAAGCGACGGGTGTCGCTGAAGGGGAGATGGTTTCCGCAGGACTTTTGGAATCGTCAAGGCCATTCGCGATGGATGAAATTAGCGTAGTGGCGCTTTTTTATTCATTATGCTAATTAATGATCTAATTTTCCAATCAATCTAACAAGCATCTTTTATCTGACCATCATCAGTTGTAAATTTCTAAATTTGGAGCCTCGCGTGATTGGTCCCGAGATACAAATTTCTGAATTTCTTAATTACAGAATTGAGCCGGAAAAATGCACAAAAATACGTAACTTTTCAAAGAATTAACGGATTTCGTTCAATTTTGAATTTGCACTTCCCGGATGCTCAAATAAGGTTAGCGTTGATTGAAAACTGTTTGCAATTGAGCCTAATTAGAAGGTTCATTAAAAAAGCGCTACTACCATCTCCCCTTCCAACATCTTGGTTGACGGCCTTCGACTCGAAGCGACGGTGTCGGGAAGGGAGATGGGTTTCCGCAGGATTTGGAATCGTCAAGGCCATTCGCCATGGTTAATTAAACGCAGTGGAGGATTTTTATTCATTCGCTAATTAGTCTTCTAATTTGCCAATCTGTTTGGAACAAAGACAAACCTCTTTTCAAAATCTGGCAATTAGATTGTAAATTCGAGCCGATCGGACTGAGTTGCCGATACTATATTTTGTGCATTTTCCAAACATTTGTGATTTTTTGGATCTGAATAAGAAAGCAAACTTTGATAATACAAATTAATATTTCTAATAGCTTAATCAGCCTGCTCATTTGTGTTACAGAGCTACGTAATCATTCCTGCTTTTGTTATTATTATAAAGTCATTAATATCTATATATTGTATTTTTTTCGTAACAAAGTTTCTGTTCGATAAAGCTAATATTAATTTAATTTTAATTAAGAAATTTAATTGCAAAAAATAAATATAAATAAACTATTTATTTAATCTGACTAATTATTTTTTGTTCAGGGTTTGTTGATTAATTACATTAATATATATTGATGCACTTTGTTGTTTTATTTTGAATTTATCAAAGGAGATTTAATAACGAATCTACTGTTTGAATATTATACGCGTTCGAATAAAGGCGATCGGCTGGATATGTCTGTATGGGGTTTTTCGTGATTTTACGCTTGTTTATCGTGTATGCGTTCTTCTGGATGATACGAGATAGAGCGGGCTGATCACTGGTAGTTCGATCCAACTTTTCGAATCCCGTGAACGGCTGCCTCCATGTATTTTTCATGATTTTCCCGCAACGTTGTGTGCAGTGTCTTTTGGATGCATACCGAATAAAGCGGCGCAGCCCAGTAAAATCGCTGAACACTGGTAGTTCGGACGAACTATGGAATAACCAACGCTGGCTCTATGGGTGTTTTCGTGATTTTCCGCATGTATACGTGTAAGCGTATCTTCTGAATGCGACGTGACCAAAGCGGCTCAGCCCGCGCAAAGCCCTGAACCTGGTAGTTCGGACGACTTTCAAATCCTGGTGAGCGGGCTGGCTGCGTGGTGTTTTCGTGATTTCCGCAAGTGTATGTATGCATTTTGTGGATGCATAGGGAATAAAGCGGGCGCAGCCCGTGAACATGGTAGTTTGTAACTTTGAATACCCTCGAAAGCGCGGCTGATGGGTGGTTTCGTGATTTTAAGGCATATGTATTGTGTATGCAGTATATTCTGGTCACATACGTGAATAAAGTGGGCGCTGCCCGCGTAAATCCGCTGAACACTGGTAGTTCGGTCCAACTTTCGAATACCGGCGAAATAAAGCCAGTTCCTTTTTAAATGTCCTCCACAAAGGCATCACACCCCTTATACTAGCGGGCTTCAGCCCGCTCAGCTGGCGGGCTTGCCCGCTAGTATATTTTAAAATATGTACACACTTATATATTAAGATTTAGTGAAATATCAGCTTTTTTTAACTTATAATGAAATTTCATTTGATATGATTAATATGGTAATTAAAAACCAATATAAATTATTTTTAACTTCTTCCATTACAAAGAAAAAAGAACACATTATAACTAAGGATTGCTATGACGAAAATTGCTTTAATATCCTCTCATCAATGGAGATGTACTTTTGTACCAGTCATAATGGAATGACAGTTAAAACAAGTGTTCATTATAACAAGCATTGATAGTACTAGCATTTCCAGCATGTTTATCTTAAATTGAAATACACAGACATTCACCTTCCACATTAAAGAAAAATTAAAAGCAAAAGATAACAATCAACTATTTTATATAAACAATGCATGCTTTCTTGCAAAAATGAAATGATCCAATAAGATATTTTTTTTTTTTAAATATTGAAATGAGTTTATGCATTCCCAATATTTTAATAGATTTAGAAGCTTTCCATAGCCTACAAGAGTTTTACCTTGAAATTCTGAAACAGTGAACCTTTTTTTGAAGTTTTCCATAAATGTTTTGTTTAAAGGAAAAATTTTCAATATACAATTGTATTAGATACATTTTATGTATTTACACGTTTAATCAATCGAGAACGAATTGAATAAGATACTTTCCTAAGGTAAAAAACATGAGAAGGAGCAATTTTAAAGTGTAATAAGTTAACGATTAATAAGGAAAATTACAACACTGAAATTTTTATATGATGCCATTTTTAGATTTGCCTTAGATTAAAACATGTAAGCATGAGGCATGTTTATTGCTAATTTATAAGTGATGCATAAAAATTGTTCATATATGATAAAAGCATTGCTTTGTGAAGAAATGAAAAGGATTAAAGCTAACATGACTTTATCTAGTTCTTCATGAAATGGCTGTCATCATTAACAGTTAAATCATCAACTATATTTTGATATGCATTTGCTTTCCATCTTTCTCTCTAGCTGAATTGCTGTTTTTGCTTTCCACATACACTGCAATGTCTTAAATATATATATATATATATATATATTAAGAACAAGGCATGTGCAGCAGATTAGCTCTCACTGCATTAAAACTGTTTTATTAGGAATGAAAATTGTTCAATCAGTCATGACCGTCTTAATGAATCAACTGTCACTATTAACAACTAAGGCACATATAATGTTTGTGCATGTAGACAAAGGGCACTGTTTCATTAATCTCAAATGAAGGGTTTTTTTTTTTTTTTTTTTTTTTTTTTTTTTTTTTACACCACTCTGTTGACATACATTTGCAAAGCTTCAAGCTTATACTCATCATTAAGTACCACAATGACTTTTGAAGCCCTGACCTGTATGCAGATTTTAACTCTCTAACTTTCAGAATGGAAAATTTCCTAATAGATGAAAATTACAGTTACAGGTTGATGAATTAATTATTTCTTATAATGTAAAAATTTGTACTTAATTTTGAGATAAGTTAAACAGTCTCTTTTTCTCAACTTAACACCAACCAATACAACTTTTTATTCTTTTAATCTCTGATTCAACAGTTTCATACTGAATTGCATTGTTATAAGTCAGTTTAAACTTTTATTTAACCTAAAAAACTTTTTTATTTAACTTAAAATTACTTTTAAATTTGGTTGATATAATGCTAATAATAAAAAACAAATAAATATACAAGTAAAATTAAACAAAAAATAAAACAAATACTGAAATTTCATACCTGATCACACATTATAGCAATCACAAAAATACCAAAGAGAAGGCTTTCAATTAATAGGAGTACAGTATGTATCCTAGGGGGAAAAAGCATGAACAGACATGATTAAAGATACATAAAAGGTTTATTAACATTATCTTTAAGTATGCAAAACAGAACTTTAAATATCTAATAGTTTTCCAAAAGTTTTTGGAAGTTGCTGTGCATAGTGAAACATGAAAAACAAATATAATAAACTTTTGATTAGACTAGAAGAGAAACACGCTAATGTGACAATCAAAATCGTAAAAACAACCTTGTATTTAGCGTAAGTATATTGAAACCCTCAATCGATTTCGAGGGCAGCTAAAGGTCCCTTCTCATCAGGAGAAAGAAATACCTATAAAGAAGAAAAATAAAGGGAAGAAGTCTCAGAAACACATGGTCCTTATCAGCATTGCACGTGGTTATAACCAGATTTTTAATCAGAGGTTACACTGACCACCTACTTTTACTGAGCCAGGCTATCTGATCAAACATGTAACACAAAGGACAAGAAAAATTAGCAAAGTTAAACTTCGAAATCGATTGCCCACGAAATCGATTGAGTGTTTCAATATACTTACGCTAAATACAAGGTAATTTTTATGATTTTGAAACTTTTGATTGTTTGATTTTTTTTAACATGCAAATTCTGCTTTACCTCTTAAAGTTTTCAATTAACAATAGAAAAATATTTGTTATCTTTAATTTTCTCTGTTTATATCAAAGTATATGAATATTCTAGCTAATTTTGGATATGAATGAAGATAAATAATTCCTCCCCCCCAAAGGGAAAACACTGATTACTGAAACTGAAGGTAATCTGAATAAGATAAAAAGAAAGCTTAATGCTGAAGAACTATTCTGCCTGACATATTTTCAGCATTTAAACAAACAAATAAAGCCAACAAGAGATTCTTGACCATTTTATGTACGAACAACAGCAGAAGGGATTTGTTGAAGAAAATTAATCTGAAGCTACCCAAATGCAGCAAAAACTTTTCAATTGTTCTGAAAAACCACTGAATGTTTTTCCAAAAAGACTTTTCCCTAGTTTCTTATCTCAATCTTTTTAAATGCCATAAATTATGTTAATATGATCTGCATATACCTTCAATTAAAAAACCTGAAATTTCATTTTGATTGGTTGAGCTGACAAGCAGCTGCTAGAGGTTCATATACCATGGATTATTTTTTATAATTATCCTGTATATATGTATTAGGGTTTTACTAACAAATTTATAACGTGAAGAACTAAGTGATGATGAAATTGTTGTAGATGTAGAAGGCTGCAAGACAGAATTAGAACATAAAAGTAATTATAATACTGACATGAATAAATGCTAAAAATCAGCAAAATATCAGTTTTGTTTACCAAAGTTTAAACTACTATTAAAAGAACATATACTTACACCCGATGCTGTTTAAAAACCATTTCATTTTTACAGTCTACACAGTCTGATGCCCACGAAATGATAACCATGATGACAGAATATAAACTAGCTAAACCTATGAGAAAGTTTAAATATTTTCTAAAAAATTGTAAAAATTTACAATAAATATTAAAGACCTCAAAATTCAAGCTATTTTACTTACCTACAAATACCAAAAACTGGATGAAGTATTTTTGATTCAATTCTCCAACACAGTTATTGATCCTTAAAAAAAAAAAAAAAAAAAAAAAAAAAACCCTCCTTATTCCATAATTCTGTTGCATTTATATTATAAATGCAACTGTATTTAATAAGCAGCATAATGATCATAAACTTAATATACAAAATTTTATACATACAATTTTATATTTTTAATAGTAATATCATTATAAGCAATTTTTTATCAGTAATAATGTTTTTGCTTTATACAAGCTAAAATAGCCTCAAATTATGAAAAGGGTACAGTATTTATAAAATAAATATAATTCTTAGAACAATCCTTATTTATTATTATAATTTCATTTAATCATTAGACTGTGAGACTACATGTAAAGAAAAGTTATGTAATGAGTTAACTTAGAAAGTGCACCTTTCTTTTTTGGAAGTTAAGCAAATGATTTGCAAGCTTGTATATTCCACTTGGTAAATATAATGTACTACGCATCTTCAATACACAATAATTTTTGGGGGCAAAAGCAATGTATCTCTAGAGAGAGTTACCAGTTATGTTATAGAATTTGAAATAAATGGAATAAACATGTTATCTTTGATTAGATGCATTTGAATTTTTCTTCAGCGTTTTATTATTTTTAAATTCTTATTAGAGTTTATTTTAATTTGTGAGCTGGTTTGACAAAAGGAGAATTAATTTTGGAACACTGTTGTTAGAAAATTTGATGATTCTAACAAATCATTTGTGTTAAACAATGAGACACTGGTGCAGTACCTGATGACTATTTTGTTTAAAGCTTATGGTCTTATCATGTCATACATGACTGTAGTTTCTTTGGAATTAAGAGTAAAATTCTAAAATTTTCTTGGGGAAGGAAAATTAATCATTCTTCTTAGGACAAATTAAAAGGTATTCATTTTTTACAAGTTTTATTCTCAGCATTTCCTACTTAATTTCTGATCAAGTTAAAAAATAAATAAATAAATAAATAAATAAAAATAAAAATAAAAGTTGTGGAAATATCTTCCCAATTCAAGAAATTTTAACTGTTTGAGCCATTAAGAACCTTGGAACAAATTGCTAGTAACCTTTTTTTGAGCAACCACAGGGCTAATTTATGTGCTGTATCAGATTTTTGAATGGATTTTGAAATGGCATTAATACATCAGAAATGCTCAAGTTAGGGGTGGGGATTTCCCAAATTTGGGATGGAATTTGACATCTGATTACTAGACCTAGATGGTCCTAAACAGCTCATGGCAAAGACCAGCTATGATGCAGCTGAAATTGTAATATCCAAAATGGCTGAAGAAAGTTAAAAGAAAACCTTAGGTAAATGCAGCAAAAAGCAACATAAATATTGCCATTTTCATGATCATAAATTATTACTTATTTTTCATTGATAAATTTATGTTTATAAAATATAATAAACATTAAATTTCTAGGCACTTTTATACTACATTAAAATATTTTAATTTTTCATAATAGAATGCACCACTTGAATCAGAAAATCTTAGGGCATAAGGTAAGAAAAAAGGGGATAAAAAAAAACTGAGAACTACTACATTAAATCACATTTCTGGATGCTAAAAGACAATTATACATTTTTAATAATTATATTAAAAACCTCTAAAATATACCAAAAACAACTATATCCACCACTTAAAAGAACTGCATCACATGATTTCAATGGACTGTTGTTCATGTTTTTTGCATCACATTTGTGTCATAATACACCTAACAAAGGTATGACAGATAAATGCTAAACAGGTGCAGTATTTGCTTATATTATAAAAAATCATTTGTGCTTGTAGAAGTTTTGCCTTTCTAACCTGATGGAGTTTCTTTCAGAAAATGAATGAAATTCAGGATGTTTGGTAAGTATCAAACGGGTCCGTGACACTTAGCCGAAAATCAGTTAGCCGACGGGACACTTAACTGACATCAGTTAGCCGACGGGACATTTAGCCGACACGGACACTTAGCCGACAGGACATTTAGCCGACAAGGACACTTAGCCAACAAGTCATTTAGCCAACACGGACAGTTAGCAGACAGGACACTTAGCCAACAGGACATTTAGCTATGGGACAGTTAACTGTCAAGACATTTTGTGAACAGGACAATAAGCCGACAGTGATGTTTAGCTGACACGTACCCAATAATTATTTAAATTTACAATCAATTACAAAATATCTCGACTTCTCCATAAGTTCAATATCTAAGTTATTTTTTTCACCGATCAGTAAAATTCAGTCTTCGATTCTTAAAGATCTCATACGTGCTTTTAATTATTGTGTTAATTTAGCATTGTTTAATATGTATCGTGCTGCTTGGTGTATATTGGTCAAATTGAAAAAGCGCTGAAATTTCTCGTCAGGGAATATGAATTAAATTTCGAAAAAAAAAAAAAAAGAATTTTTTTAGATAAGTACAGCGGTCACCTAATTACATTTTAATATGGGATCTTCAAAAATTATCCATAAAGCTTCTTTTATTTAATCAACTTGCACTTCATTAATGATTTTTCTTGTTTACTTAATGATATTAATTTTCCAATCTCGCTCTTCCAAATGCTTTCAAATTTCTAATATCTTTACGTTAGATTACTATTTTGCTCATCACATCGTGTACATTCCTTCCCTTAAAAATCGTTTGGCTTCCTCCCACTAATGAAATTCCTTTCCTTTCCTTTCATGAAAAATCTGAATATGCAATAAAAATACTGTCATTCTTGAATTATACTTTTTTATAGAAACATATGGCAGTGAGGATTAGTTTAGCAAATATATTTTATTTTGTTATTAAAAACAATTTTAAAAAGTGAATTTTTAAGACCAGCAAAGGTATAAATTTTTTGCGACCTCTATAATTAGCAGTTCATGCCACCATCCTAAAAACTCATAAATTTTGTGCATTCTGAGTTATAATATGTCGAATGGTTGTTGCTGTTGATGATTAGAGAAATTGTTCTTTCTGTCTATGGCGTTGCTTTATTTTGTGAAGAAAGCGATTTGTGAATGCGATTTTGTGAAGAAAGGGAAAAAGACATTGCTCTCACTGCTGAAGCTGATCCTGAGTTGCTGTCGTCTCTTCTTGATGTTCATGATAAGTACGTTTTCAATTATTCTTATTGCCATTAGGTTAAAAGTTAGGATTCATGCATATCATGAACAAGGAGGCGATCGAAAACCGTATCAAATCTGTGTGTAATTACAGAAATCTTGGAAGTTACCAGCGATAACTTAGAAATTTTAAGCAACTTAGGCTTTCTGAGTTTCATGCTTATCAAAATTCATTTAATCCAAATAACGCGACTGAAGTTCACGTAGCTCACGTCAATGCTATGGAAAAGATATAAACTTATAATTATACATTAATGAAATGAAACAAAAAGAAACCCTAATAATCCAACACAGGAAACAAGTCAATCTGATATTACTGCCGTCAAAAATCTAGAATCAAAAAGAAAACCACAATAGATAAAGAAGAATACATATCCCCTAGAATAATTCATAAGAGAACTCTATCAAATTCCGAATAGGAAAACTAGCTCAAAGAAATAAATTCGAGAAACTAACCCTGAGACAATATGGAAGCAGAGGAAGGTGAATTTATTTACCCAACAAAAAACAGGACACATTCCCCCTATAGTCTTAGCAGACTTCACGGGGAATTGGGATAAGATAAAAAAGAAGATTTTGAAGAGCAATTAAATATAAAAAAATATCGTGGAAACCTAAGTGAAGGTACACTGACCATAACAGTTTATGACTCAGACCACTACCACACAGTTACTGAATACCAACTAAACTACATATCGTTTTTTATAACAATAACTTTTATTGCATTATTCAGATTTTTCAGAATGGTCTACTCCTACTATGTTATTGCATTATTCAGATTTTTCAGAATGGTCTACTCCTACTACGCTAAAGAGAGCAGCTAGTTCAGTTTAGCCTACGATGTATCTCCAGTAACTGCGCTTCGTAACGCGAAATGAATGATCCCACCTCCCTGCAGATTCTCGCACGATATTCCTACAAGCAAGTTATGCCTATACAGTATCCGCCAAATCACTATAATTGCTCAATACGAATATAATTGCTCATCACTCTACTCGATTTCGATAAAATGTTCTGAATGCTTTGCATTCAAATCTCCTGAACTTAGTGCTAGCACAGAAAAAGCTTATGCTCAGTAATTTCACTTGCTATATACAGGGTAAGGCAATGGACCTACATGTGCGACTGCGTCGCTTCATAGGACAGGGAAAGAAAATTTCATTCGTGAGAGGAGCCAAACAATTTTGTAAGGGAAAGAATGTAACATGATGTGATGAATAAAATATTAATGAAATGTAAAGATATTAGAAATTTGAAAGCATTTGGAAAATTTTTATCATTAAGTAAACAAGGGAAATTACTAATCGTGTGAAAGTGTTCAAAAGAACCTAGTTGATTAAATGAAGAAGCATTAGGATAATTTTTGAAGATCCCATGTTAAAGTGTAATTAAGTGACTGTCATACTTAGCTAAAAAAGTTCTTTTCTCCTTTCGAAATTTAATTCATATTCTCTGACGAGAAATTTCAGCACATTTTCAATTTGTCCAATATTCACCAAACAGCATGATACATATCAAACCATACTAAATTAACGCAATAATTAAAAGCACGTATGAGATCTTCAAAAATCAAAAACTGAATTTTACGATAGGTGAAAAAATGAACTTAGATTGAACTTACAGAGAAGTCGGAAATTTTGTAATTGATTGTAAATTTAAATAATTATTGGGTAGCATCAGCTAAACTCACTGTCGGCTTATTGTCCTGTTGACAAATGTCTTGACAGTTACTGTCCCTAGCTAAATGCCCTGAAGGCAAATTCTGTGTGTCGGCTAAAGTCCTGTCCCTAACTGTCCGTGTCGGCTAAAAGTCCCTGTGTCGTCCGCGGCTAAATGACCTGTCGGCTAAGTGTCCTTGTCGACTAAATGTCCTGTCGGCTAAGTGTCCGTGTCGGGCTAAGTGTCCGTGTTGGCTAAATGTCCCGTCG